TATACACAAAATGAGGCTGCAAAATCTGGCACTCTATCCTTCAGTCGGAAACATAATTGGTTTATATGTGAACATATCTTTGAATTGTGCAGCCTAAAATGTTCTACTTACTGCACTTGTTAGCTTTCTTTAAAAGACTTCTGCCTCTGTATCTCCCTTGAACGGCAGGTACACATAGACAGACTTCTTCGATGCGCCTATTTCCTTTGGCCGTTCCGCGTGTTATAGCATTGCCCTATCGATAAATCGTTCAGGATAGCCATTCTGAGCAAAAACAGGTCGTAGGAACTGAAGTTCATTGTCAATAGTGTCCGTCGTGCATATTTTCTTCGCTCTTTGAACCAAAGAGTGAATCAGGTTTCCCTTCCTCCGTAGAGGGACAAAACTATGGAAATGGATATATTGTCCATTTTACGTTGCTTTTCTATGCACCGATAACCGAACGGAGCTATCGCTGCGGCGTCGTATGAGTATGTCTAGAAAGACTATCCTATTATCCTCTTATTTTTCCAGAGTAAACTTCATGTTGGGATGGACATTACTGAACTCCTCAAGCAATTGAGTAGTGTCCACATTGGCGTCTAATATACACAACACATCATCAACATATCGTCTATATAGGGTGCACTGTCTGATATAGATCTTCAGTGGATCATTCTCTAGTTTGGCCATAAACATGTCAGCAAATAATGGTCATGTATGGTCATGCATGATTACGAATAACTGAAAATGAGCTTGTTCGCCACACTGTTGTTTTGAATGTGTTCTGAAATGAAACGACAAATGTATTTATTTCGTGCTAATCAAAAAGTGCGTAATGTCCCCATAACACGGGACTCAATTTGCATACTGTTTTTGGACGGGATATTTGTATTTTATTGTAATTCTAACTTTTGTTGGCGTAAAGTCTACATTCCGGTCTAAAGTGTACACATAAGAGGATGGGAAAAGTTAAGTCTGGAAATGTTTTTAAAAAATCTATTAAAACTTTCTGGCATACGTGCTACAGATGGTACCGTAGAGTTCCGATGTGTGTTTATTCCAGAGGGAGCACAACAAATTTGGGATCTAACTGATGAACCGTAAAGACAGAAAATGAAATCTGTGCACAGTAAAAGTGTGGGATTCATAGGAATCTATTGTGCAAACATTTCAAATGCATTTAAATAACATTCGCATTGATTGGTTATCAACTCCTTCAATGACATTGAAGATACACAGTAAATGACGGTCACTGCACATCGAAACCGTTTAAAGTCTTTCTTTAGGAGACTGGAACACCAACAAGTGAGCAACAAATCAAAAAGGGAAAGCACATTGGTAAACTCGAAACTGACGAAGTTTACGGATACGGAAAGAAAGTCGACAAAAGTTTGGTGAGATGTCCAATCGATAAAGTCTTCAGCTTACCGGGAACACTAGCTCAAAGCCGATCGATACCGGTTCAGATGGAAGCGAAAAATGAGGTAACCTGGTATAGAAGCATTCGAAACTTTTTGAGGGAATAAAAAAAGCAGCCGGATGTGGCGAAAAATTATTAAACGTTATCCAAGTTGTCGAAAAATTGTGAGAAATCGGAAGAATGGGAAATAGCCTGAGCTAAGCCCACAACTTGAGCGTATTTGAAGCGAGAAGTTGGGGCAGGTAAGCCGTTAATTATACGTAGAAAATAAGAATGGGAAAGGATGGCACCTTGAAGTACTCCAAAATCGTTTGTCAATGGTTTGGAATTTCTCCGACTTTGCTTGGTGCATTGAGTTCTCTCAGAGAAGCAATAAGCAAGCCAAACTAATAACCGCCAGGACAACCGGAAGTCTTCAGTTTACGAAGAAGAACGAAATAAGAAATAGGACCAAAATCAGAAACACACAACGAGCTGATTTTGCAGAGTCATTCAAGGATTTGGTACTTTTATGCACAAGTGAGGAAACTGCATCTAGCGTGCATGGGTTTGGTTTGTAGACGATCTAAAGAGAATCACACGAGACATCAAGCAAGGGCTAAATGCGTGTACGGACAACACGTCCTGTTAGTTTAGGATCAATAGAAGCTAAAACAAGGGGACAGAAGCGTGTGGTCAGAGGATTTTGGAATGGGAACAAGTGTTATCGGTTTCCAACAATCTGGCATGGAGCGGATACTCAAGGAAGTGTTTACAATTGATGCTAATATTTCACCACTAAGAGTATGCTCCATATCTCCAAGGGGAAGATGAAAGACCATCGGGACCAACACTAAATATGGTTCCCTTTGTATACAAAACCTCGAAAGTTTCTTATTTTTAGACGGCTTCTACTTGAATGGTGCCTTCCAGAATAATGGATGTAATGAATTCGATAGCATGGATAAACGTTGCATTGTATGCCGAGATTGTGAAAAGTTCAGTAGCCTCGGTGGGATTCGAACCCACTCATGGGCGCCGCCTACACCTTGTGCGCGCATGCTCTACCAGATGAGTTACCAGACCACACCGATAGCACTGATCTTTTCACAATCGAATTTATCCATTCAACTTACAGAAGCATGTGGCATCTACCAGTTTGCGTGTAAGCTGACTGCCCCGACAGGTTTTCCTTAGAATTCACCCGGAGTCCACCGAATGAGCTTCTAAGACAAGGTAATTGTTCGAATTTTCACAATCGATATACAAACTTCAAATCTGCCAAATAACAATTTGAAAAATGTTGCATTAGCACTGTCCAAATCCGTTGTAAAATTCAGTGTTTTGGCTTTAGTTCCAAGCAGTAATTTGATACCTTGCCAAATTCGCTTACTATTGTTACATTTCAGAAGCTGACAGTCGTACGACTCAGATAAGCATTTGACTTCAGATTTGATCAAGTTGTGTAATACTTGACAGCTGCTGAGTCTCCAGATTTGCATGATAGTTCATTCTGTCTTCTGAATAGTTTCATCGGTCGAGATGCTATTCTGCCATTATAGATAACTAGAGTTTCAAAACAGTAGCATAGGCTAAACGTGTGATAGAATATTTTAGTGAAAACATTGATTGCATTATGTAAAGGAGGACAGGAAAACCCACAAATGAACGTCACCAATGGGAAGATTAATTAGAAGAGTGTTTCCGGGGCAGGGTTTGCTAAGATGAATAACGATTCAGTTTATTTTGTGAATGAGATGGGAGATCAATACGTGAATGCTAGTGTAAACAGGTGCCATGGGTTTTAGGGTAAAATGTTCCAGGTGATCAGTAATTACCTTATCTAAAAATGGACCACATCTTGTGGGGAATAGGCGAATATCAGTTAAACCAAAAGAGGTTACGGGATAATTGGATGTGTGTGTTTAAAATCAATAACAATAATGTGGAGACTATCATCAATCAGGGAGACGAAAGGCTGTTTAAATGCATCCAAGAAGGATAAAACGTGAGACTGGGTACAGAAGGGAGTTACGCATAAATTGGTCATGATGGTGTTTCTGTATCGCCAAATCACGGGATAGCTGAATAATGGATGCCATCGGCGAAATAATCGAAAAGAATTTGAGACTCGCTGTTCCAGGAACAGTTGATGTAGGCAAATGCGCTACTTCGTGTCTTCTTCTTACTGTACTTTCTGTCCTTACGGTAGCATTTGGAACCATGGATTCCAACGAATGAGTCCTCGAACTTTCGGTCATGCCAGGATTCTTGAATACAAACGATACACGTGTTGCGGTGGGTGCGTGAGTGGAGGGTACACGTTAGATCCGTTATCCTTCACAAAGCGACCTAATGCTCTTGCCCGCCAATAATGGCAAAGTCAGTTGCCATGGACGAGTGTGCGACTAAGCGCTGCTTGCCAATCACCGCACTTGCGTTATTTATGTGAGGGGAAACCCGAAAATGAGCCAAAGAGGACGTAAAAGACCTTTCGAGCGGTCATTATATAGTATTCACCACAAACCAAAATAATTCTCAGAGGAAAGAAATACAACGCTGTCCGTTGGAATGCGCTAGTTTGTCTAAGCCACATCAAATGATTTTTTCAGGGGTTAAAAACTGGAGGCTTGGACTAGGCTAATCCGAACAGAAAACTTGATGGGGGTGAAGTTTGAATATCACAGCATTTCGATCATATAAAGCCGTGAGACGAACTCTTTACATCCAGGGCACTTAGTGCCCCAACTGGCATTTAGTTGACTGAGTAAATAAGGCGGTGGACGTGTTCTTCAGCTAATTTTTCCACCTATTTGGGGGCGTGGGGCAGGATGAAGAATAGAACTAAGTGTATTTTAGAATTTTTGACAGGTAAGCCATCTGACCATTATTCATTATTCTAGGCTACAGCTTGGGAACTTGGATTTTCAATCTCAACCTACCAAAGCAGTGAGTGGAACTTTCTCAGACAATACTTTGAGAGACAAATTCCATTTGGATAGAGAAAATGAGCCTTTGAATATCCGGGTAATAGTTCAGTTTTGAGCCTATTTGAAGTAATTAAGCCATGATTTTGCCGTAAAGCTGCACAAATGTTGATGAGGAGAACTGTGGCAAGTTGTTGGTTTTAAACCAACCGGATATAATTGGGCAAACTGGCCTCTTCAGACGTTGCTGTCTATAGATTTTAAACATTAAAAAATTCTCTGAAATATTTTTCTTGTTTCATGTCTGCGAGAGTTTTTCATTAAACACAAAAAACCACCGATTGGTCTAAAATCGAATTACTTTTCCAAGATGGACCAAATTAGCAACATGTACTTGCATGAGATGTACAGGTTACAAATCCCGTCTTCACGGCGAGTTCCATCAAAGTCAGCGCGCAAAGCGTGAGGAAGAATGTAGTCCACGGTTGCAAATCGTGAGATCAAGCTAATTTGTTAATGCCGGTCGACCACCAACCATTACAGGACTCAAAGATGTTACACCAAACAATTTTGTCTAAATCTGCATACTGCAGAAGCGGCTCGAGTGCGTGTCTGAGTTCGAACCCCATTACCAACATTCAGCTTTTCTATATATATATATATATATATATATATATATATATATAGAAA